GTGCTCTGATACGTATGCCTCTACAGGCGACTCCTCCAACTGTGGCTGTGTTGGAAGAGAAGGCAAGCTGCAGAGAGGCGGAGTATGAATCCTGACCTTTTGCAACTGTGAAAACCACATGTGTATGTAAAGTTCAGCCAAGTTGGTAGTTACGTTCTCTATAATACTGGTAGTGTGATTCGCGAGGCTTCTCAGGATGTTGGTCAGAGGCACCAAAAAAGACGGTGGAATCTGTCTTTGATAGTTAAACACCACGTGTTGTCCTGAAAACAAGACGTGAGACTAGGTACTGTAATGTCTTTTATTGAATAGCACAATTCATTTGAAACAAATGCACAAATGAATTGTGCAATTTAGAAACTAGGTACATAACTATGCGAGATACATTTTTATTTAGACGTCGTTCGTTAAGCGTATGTACATTTTAATGTCAGCCGAACGACGAGTGTTATCGGGGGAAATCCAAGAATCGCACTCTCCTTGAAAAAGGCGACCCGGAACCACACAAAGACGGGCGTAAACCGCACACATTTTTCTATGCTACATTACTATTATATGTAATTCATACGAGACGGAATATTTTAGAGACGAAGAGTTATAACGAAAGTCACGACGGAGAAAAAAAAACTTCGTGCGTGGGACCCGAAGTTGAGGCCATACGGATCTCTGAAGTTTTCGGATGACGTATCTAAAAACTTGAGGTGCAGCTACCGAAGTTCGTGTCCCACATCTGAAGTACTTGGTCTATGTCTATATCTAATGGTGATGGTAAATTGGTGTGATTTTTTTATGTTGCAGGGCGAGTGTACCGCGGGCAGCTGGGTGTTGGAAGCCGGCAAGCGAGCAGCAACAACAGCGACGGGAACAACCGGGAGTCCTCGCTCGACGATTCGGGCGTCGTCGACGACCACGAGGAGGCCGACCTCACCTCCGAGGACGTCGGCAACATCTCCGTCGCCCCGGCCAACGTCCAGATCATCCCGGTAAGAACCAAACCATCCCCCACCCCCGCCCCCCGTCTTCATCACTCACGTCACGATACATCCATTCCATTACATTTTGTTTTGCAATAAGGAACCACTATTTTTAGCCTATTTTAGAAACAACACACATGCCATTGATTTCCCTATGCCGATATGTGCATGTATGGGAATGCCAGAGAAAGTGGTTCCTCGTTGCAAGATGTAATTCCATTGATCTCCTATATATGAATTGCATTTTGCGAAAAGGAACCAGGAGCATTGCAATGTTGCTCAGATTGTGCAACTTCACCCATTGCAATGTAACAATTTATATCCTGAAATAATGTGAAATTTACATGGTAATTTTTGTCCTTTTACAGTTTTTAACGAGTTAAATAGAAACTGTTAAGAGATAATTAGGTATTCCTCCTAAGACAAAAGGAGCTGCACAATCTTAGCAATATTGTAATGCTCTCGGTTCATTTTTGCAAAATGCAATCCATATACCGACGGGAAAAGATCCATGAACAGAAATCAAAAACAGCTCTTTCAGTGCTTCATTGTCGCAAACGGAATAGCGAAGAGGACACGCAATGTTTCGTCGCATCCAATTTTCGGATCGTCTGCGAAATTAAGAGAAACTGTTTCACCAACCCATGCGGAAGTTATGGAATATTATTTGGACGTATTTCTACCAAACAGACCTATGTGCAAGTGAGAAATATGGGGTGTGCTCGTTAGCTCTCTTTGCGTAAGAGTGAATGAGAATAATAAAGCGCCAGTGACGTCAGCGGCAATTCGAGACGCGGCTCGACGGGGAATCTCGTTATTGGATGGAGTCTTTAACTCATGAGCCCTGTCCACAACGCTCTCTTGCCATGCCCGCGGCTCAAGAGTTCCGCATTCAGTTGGCACATAGGTCTGTTTGATAGAATGTAATATCCCGCTTTTCCAATTCTTCAAAAGGAACCACGCCCTCTTTTACATTGCTTCTTATGCAGCTTCCTAGAGCACACCCCATATTTCTCACCTCCACATAGGTCTGTTTGGTAGAAATACGTCCATTTTTACACTCGTGAAGTACGGTCGGAAACCGGTGGACTTGAACCACCAACAGTGCATAAAGTGGTTAGCCGCGTTGTGGAAAAAGTGCGTGAAATTTGGTGCCGCATCAATTCCGATTACACAAATCGGATGCGACGAACTATTGCGTGTCCTATTCGCCATTCCGTTTGCAGTTATAAAGAACTGAAAAGAGCTGTTTTGGAGAAACAGAAAGGTCAGGATACAAGTCACTCCTTTCGATTGTTACGATAAGAAACTCGAGCCAAAACTGATCACAGTGGATCAGAACTACAACTCCGAAGGTCGTGGGTTGTCACTTCGCCAAAACCGGACGAAATTTCGGGCTTTGGGGCGATAATTCGGTAAAATCTACTAGGATTGACTATCCACACTTACTTTTACGACATTACTGTAGATGGGCCATTCTGGAGGGCGCTACCGACTATTTATCGGGTGAAAGCACGCCAATTGTGCTTTACTCGTGCACGATAGTCAAAACGAGCGAAATTTTCGCTCTTTAGGGCAACAATTTGACAAAATCTGTAAGGAGACATGTGTTTAAACCTTTAATAAAATTTATTAAGAAATTTCGGCCTGTGAGGCCTCCAAGGAGACATGTGTTTAAACCTTTAATATAATTTATTAAAAAATTTCACCTCCATGCGGAACTACGGGGTCAATTTTATGCGGCAAAATTTTTGGTATTTCATATAGGGCCCATTTGACAACTTTTTTTCGAAGATACGCGATTCCCCTCTCAAAGTCGAAAATTTCGATCCACCCTAGGCAGCATGGAGCGGAACATTGAAAGCAGTTTACAGCTCACGACAGCGCGCCTTCAATTTTTTAGATGCAACATCAAACACCCGTCAAGTACAAATAGTTGTATCTCTGCGCCGTGATAACTTCGTGCATTAACACTAGACCCGACCGCTTCGCTTTCGGAAGGTGCAAGGTATACTTTGCATTAAGAAATATTTCTCACTAGCAAGATTAGCCTGTGACACTTCCAACATGTTAAAATAGACGTGTTCCGACTGAAGTTTTGATGAGAGAACACATTGAAGGTGCTTAAATTCCTCCATTATCCGGTGGTCGATTTGTCAACTCAGTGCCGTCAGCAAACACGGAGAGGATCGTTCACCGCTTGATGGTTCCTCTCAACGTCAAAGTCAAAGGCGGCCCTCTCAAACTTGCTTAGAAGCGTAAAGAACTGCTAACAAGGTTACGCAGCCTCCGGCTCGGAGACGGTGGATTAAAAAAGACGCATTAATTGGGTTGGTTTCTTACTCTGCATGGAAATCGAGTCCTACTGGCGAATGTCGCACGCTTTGAGAGAGGTTTAGATGTGCTCTGACTAGAAATAACGAGGTATGATTGGGCCGTCAAAATCAACCGTGCTGCGTCGAAGAAGAGTTAATTGGGCACAGAAAAGACGCAACTGCATTACTAATGATCACAATTTTTACGGTTCACTATATATATATATATATATATATATATATATATATATATATATATAAACAAACAAAAAAACAAAAAAAAAAAAAACCATTACAGTTCATTCAAAAAACTATAATGATTACAACTATTATTTGAATTCTAAAAAAGTCGAAAGCCTCAAAAATCAGTGGATAAACACCTGTTACAGTAATTCCCAAATAGTTAACGTTAGGTTCGGCAGAGAGGAACCAAGCCACATCAGTTGGTGCCAAATTGAATCGGGTAATTTAATTTTTTATATGAAAATGGTTGCGTGGATTTTAGAGCAAATATAAGTCAATATCTGCATACTACGAAGCGAATTCCTTAAAATTTTCAAAGGAATCCGCACGAACGTTATCTTGTAAAAAATTGAATTGCCCAGTAATATTTGGCAATAGCTGATGTGGCTTGCTTCATTTCTGCTAAATGCGATCCGAATGTGAGAAACTCAATTTAATACACGGAAAAAATGCATTGCTGAATTAACAAATAAATTGTTAAAAAATATGTCCAACATGTTTCACAAGTACATTCTACAATAGCAGAAAGCTAATTTAACCACGGGTACGGTTACATTAGTATTATTTTAATTGTAAAATCTACGTTGAAACATGTTGGACACTTATTTTAACAACAAAATTATTAAATCAGCATATCATTTTTCTCCGTGTAAAGCGAGCAACTTATGCCGTATCAAGGGCAGGTAACTCGAGGTTCATTATCAATATATTTAAATCGCGCACCATTCCGGGGGCTTAATTGTGGAAGAGATTTACCATCTCACCTTTGTATCAAGTTACGACGAGGCACAGCTCATAACTTCTTAGGGATGAACGGGTGGGCAACCGTTCGCTCACGTGCTTCAAGTGATTGCTCGCTTGTAAACATTTTACGATTCCGAGGTTTGAAGTATTTCGTCACGCACCTATTGAATGAGGAAAAGAGATTGTTCGAGCTCATAAAAGTTGTAAAAAGTAAAAGGTATGGGATGTAAAACTGAAAGAACGAACGTTAAGAAAGTTTTCCTCAGAATGAGTTTTAGACTGCTCCAATTGTGTTTACAGCCCCACGCTGTAGGCATCCAAATTAATCTTCCAAATTCGGTGCGCTGTATTTTTGCTCAGTAAATAATTAAATTGATCGATTCGAAGACAAGTCATTACGTTAACCTGGCTCACGCAGGGATGAACTACAATTCAACCACCGGGCTGAGTATTTAGGTTGACGGACAAAGTGATAGAAAAAGATGACATAGGGAGTATGGAGCAATTCTATTGGTTGAAGTTGGTGGTTCCTGGAGACCGAGAGAGAAAATGATGATTTAACTATAGGGTCTCTAGTGAGTTGCCGTCAGCTTGTCTATCACCCACCTCCTTTTGCCATTGCAACCATCCGCATTCCCCAATATAATTGCTTTACCTATTTCCTTTTTTACCTCTTTGTCTATCGCTTTTTCTCCCGCTGGGCTAAATAGGACGTTTTTAAATGAAAAGGAACCATGTCCATTGTGACTTGACCCCTGACATGCATATATCCTTATGGATATCAGGACTCATGTCAGAACGAGTATAGTTCTTTTTAACTTAAATACGTTTAATTGGCGCTGACAATTCGGCATCGCGACGAAATGCATTGGGAAACACAAAAAAAAAGGTAACTAAAAATACTAAAATACACAAAAAATTATTTTTTCGTGTGTGATCATTCACCCCCAATGCCTTAGTAAAAATTACTCAAAATGCACTTCAGTTCGTCTTTGTTCGGTTAGATCAACAAATACTCGTTTAACCAACTGTAAAATTGGATGAGTGTTCTACTGACTCAATTTAAGGATTTAAGTTTTGCGCAAATCCGATTATTATCGGTCACAGCTTGCGACTGGTCAGTGCATTGAATCACTGACTACTGCAAGCTGAATATAGATAGCCGAATCGATGACAAATTTATGACATAGTCATGGACATTTCCTACTGCGAAAAGTTCCTTGACGCATTTGGTATGATTACTAATATGATCAAGAGTATTATTACATCAGTCTACATTATATTCTTAGGTCACCATTACTATGGTTCTCGAGTAACGCGAGAGGAGTTTGCTTGTTTAAGTTTGGCTTTGTAAAAAGAATGTCCAATAGCTGGACCTTCTCACACGCTTATTCGAGTGGCGAGCTTGTTATACGATTGTGGTTTTAATTCTTTTGGTCTCATAAATGTATATTATTTATTATTGATGGACAAAGAAAACATAAAAAAATGGAGCGATCCTATTCGGAGATGCGGGTGAATGCATCGGACAAAGGAGATCAGTTGGAGAAAAGAAAACGACAACCCACGCGTCTCCTTCAGTCTATAACAACCGCCCAATTCAACGGATAGGATCGCTCTTTTTTCATCTATCGATTCATTTACACTTTCAATAATCAGCCCCCTGGATCCGGATTCAAACCGAGCCTACCGTAACTAGTTAAGACA